TTGTTTTGAGGAAGCTTTTCCTTCCAGTTTGTGTCTGAAAGCTACTTCGTTGCGTGGTCTATACATCTTTGTAGATAATTCATTTTGAAATTGATTATGTTCTTCCTTTCTTTGTAACTTTCGACATTTTTTTGTATGAAAATTGAAAGTCAAAATATTTCTTCCCCATCGATACAACTATTTCAATGTATACTTGTATGTGTTTCAAATCAGGAAACTATCAACTTATATCTTTCGGTAATATTATATTCTGCAATAAGGTTTATCCCATCAGCGAACTGAAACTATTATTGAAAACTACTCGTTGATGATAAGCATTTTATTTAAGTTGAAATTATAATGCGAATCAAAAATGCCATCAAATGAAGGAATAATTACCCAAAGCGGGAGACCAAAGAAATAAATAAAATGTTACGAGTAAAAGCTTAAGTGTTGTTTATTACCTGCGAGAAAAGAATGAAAATTTACGGCATGGACACTGTGGAAGACAATACATTAACAAGCATTTGCACTTCTTAATCCCAGTATGTTAGAGTAGGTGACAGTTTACAACGAGATTTTGGTTTTCAGAAAAAATTTTTTGATTATAGAAATTGTCTACACTTTGACACACTTGAAAACTAAGTAAACCTGTCTATTTCTGTTTATATCTTGATACTGGTAACAAAAATTGTGAATTTGTTACAAAAATACTTCCTCTTTTCTGTATCGTCTTCCTTCAGCTCCTGAGGTGGTATCGTTTTATAGGAAGGCATTTTATTTTATTTTCTCTTTCAAATAATCGTTCTTGATGGCTGTTCTGTTAAAAAAATCTGTTTTTCAAGAACGGCAACCCTCAAAAGTTGAAAATTGTTTGAGTTAGAAATCAATGCGGTCTCATCTCAACGATAGACAGTGAAAATCAATCGTTCGGCCGTAGGGTTTAAACCACAGTTTCACATAGCCGACTACATCAAAAATTGGGATTGCTACATGTCAACTAGATATATGTGGATTTAGGCAAATATCACATTTCACTAGTAGCTACTCTTTTGACTGCCTCACATGTCTAAGATAGTGGTACTGATTTTCTATTTTACTATTTTTTGGGATGTAGACAGAAAATTTGTAATTTTTTCATGCAATAAACAAGCAATTTCTTTATAACCTATTTGAAAAACACACTTTGATGTGAGATTTCAAGTGGAAATCTCATATGATACTTTGCTGAAACTAGGCGTTTTAAACTAAAATAGGCAGGAAGAAATTAAAATGGTCTTTGCTAACTTTCTCATTATCAGGACCTGAAGGGAAATGAGTAGGTAGATGGATAGATAGATACATGATTTATTTGACTATATCATATTTATAGCAAGCTATTTGATCTTAAAAGATTTTAAGTAAACTATTTAGTTATACCATATCACACTTTCACAAGGAATTATAAAATATCACAACATATAGACATACAAAAATATAAGAAACAGTTTGAAACCCAATTATCATACACAAACAGTACATAAACGGTAAGTATGTTCTATGAGGCTGAAGGTCGCACCTTGAATATCTTTCAAGTAGGTACTCATTGATTGAGTAAAAATTTGTTCAGCAAATTAAATACGATTTGATAGTTCGTTCAAACTTTCTCATACTCATCGTTTCGATTTGATAAGGCAGTACATTATTGTGAAGTAGAAAGCCTGTATCTAGGAATTCTGATATTATCAGAGTTTATAGTGTTATGATGGTGGATGTCAGCATGTGCAGTGAGGTTGGACGGTGTTTTAGTATTTCAAAAAGTGAATTGTGAATGTATAAGGACGGGAGAGTTATGATTATGAGTTTGATGAATAAAGGTCTACACAGAAATAATATGTTTGACAGTTTATGTTTTAATTGTTCCATATGAGTTTCTCTTTCTCTTCAATTTCTTTAGATCGATCTAATATAACGTGGTGATCTGGACTCGAACATATAAATGACGTGTCATCGGAAAAGAGATCAAACACATTTGGCGGAAGTCATGAAGTTGCTTAGCTCATTAAAATGAATGCTGAATGAAAGTGGCCCCAGGACAGAGCCTTAGGGTACACCATGATTCATTTTCTCAAAATCCGATGTACTATTATTGAAACGAACTGCCTAAAATCGATTTTTCAGGTACCTAGAATTTAAAAAGTGATAGTGCCACTCCTCTTAATCCATAGAAATATAATTTTTCCAGTTGGATGTCATGATCGACACAGTCGAAGGCTTTCGAGAGGTAGCACAGCGTGATATCTGTATGCTTTTGCTCTTCAAGGCCTTCGACTATGCCACTGACTATATCCATTACCTCTGCTGTCCTCGAGCTACCAGACCTAAAACCAAACTGCGAATCACTAAAATATCTGTCAATTTCGAAGTACTTTGCTAATAATGGATATCGGAATATGATTTGATTATTCTACTATTTAGGTCGTAAACGTCAGCGCATGAAGAATTTTTCAACGATTTTATGGTATCCTTAACTTCAGATTGTGTAACTGGAAGCAGAAAGAAAGAAGATGAAGGTACTGGAAAAATCTTTGTGAAATGTAGGGCAAAATAACCATTAAAATCGTATGAGGTATTGTTTTCATTAATGATGCAAGTTGATTCAGCTTTGTTCCTTTCAAAATTGATAACTTGCCAGCTAGCTTTAGACTTGTTTTTCGCGGAAAGAATGTATGCATTATATGCATATTTTTTTGCAGTTTTAATTTTTTTTCATGTACCTTTTTCAAAAGTTTATGAAATTTTGATTCAACATTTGACAAGACTGATCTTTGAGCTTTGAGCTCATCAGCAAACCAATTTATCAACTGTTTTTTGTGTGAAGATTTATTCTTCAATGGACATTTTTCTCCCATTGAATCATGAAACGTAATCACTGAAATAATCGCCAGATAATTTACCCCTAGTTCATCATTTTTATAAATCTCCCAGTCCACATTATACAGAGCATTTTCAATTATCTGTAAACCAGAGGTTGTGATAACTTTTTCATAGATTGATATATTTGTAGACTATTGGAGATTTTCGTTTGTGATTACATACTGTCCAAAATGATCGGATATCCATGGTTCTAGAACGTTTATTTATAATCAATTCGGTTTCAAACTTAGATAATATATTATCTATACAGTTAGATTTTCTTGCCTTCATTCTAGTGTAATCATGAATATTCACGGAAAGGCGAAAATAATTTAGCAAATATAACAGTTAATTCAGTATGGAATCAATAATAGTTTCAAAATGAATATTAAAATCACCCAAAATTATGGCTCTTTCGTCCACTATGGAAAAATAATCCAATAGACGTTCTAGGGTTTCCATGAATACCTTGAAATCCCAAGAAGGAGATCTGTATAAAGTGAACAGATATGATTTCAGGTCCTGAATCAANTTTTTTATCGAAAATTTCCTCCTCTTTAACGAGTTTTTTTCAAAATTGCTCGAATATTAATATTTTTTGACTTATCAACGAAAAAGTAAATACCATTTTTTAAATCTTATTTTGTTAATAACAATTGCAATTTTTACCTGCACCAAAATCCTTCAAAAACATTTTTCTAGAGGTGATTCCGAATCGAATGAGCTATCGCTCATATTTTTAGGACCTTTATCTCTATTTTTCATGTTTTTGAACTTGTGGATTAGACCAATAGTACTACTCACTATATCGAGCGCGTCGCATGATTTTGAACATAGTTCGCTCATTAATTCATATAAAGTTTCATCTCGATGTTACCGCATCTACTGACTACTTTGGTGATCATTGATTTACTCAGACTTGCTGATTGAAGTGTGCTAAGTGTAGTGCATTATTTGGAGAAGGGCCCCTGCTCATCATCGAGAAGAGACTGGAAATGTGGGTGACTTCAAAAGTAATTTTCTTCACTCTCTCGATATTATTAATTTGATACAGTCCACTCAGTTAACTATATTTTTAACTAATACAAAACAAATATTATTTCTTACAAAAAATTTGAAAGTACCCGATATGAGACATATTTCCTTAATGTTTTTGAAATTCGATATTATTTACTATGTTGCGTTTGAAATGAGAAATTGCTAATGTTCACATGTTACCTTGCATGAAAAGTGTTTGTTGAATAAATGCACAACTGAACATATCAATCGAAGCGTTCGGGATTTTTTTAACCTGCTCTTATTTATTTATTATCGAATTCATTCGATTTGGCTGATACATACATGATATATGAGCGAGTTGCATATTTAATTGAATTTTTCTATGTATTTTATATCTTTTGTAATGAACGTTTTCAATAACACAAATGTATTAAATGTTTTCTTCTATATTGATGATTTTTTTTATTTATCATATGTTAGGTTAGGTTAGGTTAGGTCAAAAGTGAAGGTCACGTAAAACGAAAACTCTGCAGTTTATGAATTAATATTGTACATGAAAGTAATATTATTTTTTATTGTGAGAACTATGAAGTAACAGAAATTGGTGAGTATTACAAGTACAGAGAATTGTATTCAAATGAAAGTGTGATTTCTTTCATTAAATATGAAATATTTTTGAAATAATACAGAAACGATAAAACAAATGTTTATAGACTACATCTGTAATTTGATGTTGGTAGATTGTAACTTTTCGATAAAATTTAGGGGAAAATTTCAATACAACCAGAAATACTCCAGACTAAAACCTGTTTTATGTAAATTGCCACTTTCATCTCCGACAACCCTGTATTCAACTCTTGAAGCAAGAAATGAAAAATGACAAAACCAAAAATATATGAAGTAAAACTCTGTTGTTTTGATTTGTTTATACCTGAAAACATTTTCATAATTTGTCGTACATGTGACAATCCACAAAATGCTTCCATCTTCCTCATTAATAAGAAACAACAAATAATTTACCGATCTAAATATCGTAGTCGAGAAACCGATGCCAACATGTAAAAAACTAGTAGATGAAAGCTCCACTCACCCGTTTCCCAGACAACAGACGACAAAGCAAATAAGCTCTTGACACATTTTTCTCACTCGGTGATAACCTGTAGGTTTTTCGAACAAATTCTGGCAAATTCGCCTTATGATATTTGAACCTCTAACTCGAGTTATGTGTTAGTAGTGTGGAAGCCTTTGGCAACAAAATGCGCGCGCTCAAAACTTTTGGAAGTCCCACTAACCCGATGAGGAACATGCGCCGGAAATTCCGTTCAAAATGAAATACTTTTACAGGATATTAATATTTGTGGTTTGTAGATATTTACCTTTCATGTTTGCGTTCCTCCAATTCGAACGGATGGGATGAAAGGAACGAAGAGGATATTCCGTTACGACAACTGAGGAAATTCTAATTCTGATATGAAACTGATTTTGTCCATTGATATGTGAGTATTCCAGTTTTCAACAATTTTTTTACATATTTTTTGACCGGTTATAATTTTAGCTATACTGAATGTCCCAGATACGCAAAAAGAAAAGTGGAATGACATGAAAATCAGTCACTTGTATTCAAAAAACACTCTTTGATGTGAGATTTTCACTTGAAAGTTTACAAAACCGCAACATGTGTAAAGTGTGTTTTTTGAATACGTTATGATGGATTTTCATCAAGTATCGGTCAGTTTTATCATATCAGTCACTTGATTCAGTGCCCCTCAAATTGTCTGAATCGTGCAGGATGTGAACTTCTGTTTCATTCAAAAATACAAGAATTATTTCATTTCAAAACAATTGATGTGTTACGCATTCTACTGACAATAAAAGTTGAGTATATTTGAAACTTTTGTATGAATTGATGCTTACGATCATATTTCTGTAAAAATCAATAACCAAAATAAATTCTATTCTATCAAGTACGTAGAAACTATTTTTCTCTGGAAAAGCTTATTGTCAAATCATCTGCAAAAGGAACTTTTAACCGGTGATGATCAACTATATTGCCAAACATGCGCCAAACTAACTGACTATTATAAGAAAACAAGTATAACTGAGGCACCAGTCAATCTAATAATGACACTGATGATCTTCAAACATGACTCAACCTCTGACGGAACTCTTACGAAAGTTCGAAATAGATGAACATGTAGATGACCACTATCATAATCTTCATGTAGTCAGTGTTCACTGTGGTTCTGGCGTTAAATCAGGTCATTATTAGGTATTGGTCAAAGACGAAACGTACTGGTTTGTGTTTGAGATAGTCGTATCACGAAGTGTTCTGGCGATGTTTTGAATTCATTGGTGCCTCTGGAGACACCCTATATTTTGTTTTATGGAAGAGAAAACATTTCAGATGTTATGGCCTTGCAGATTTTTCCGGGTTTTCCTGCAGCTGAAACAGCAAATGCGCCACTGGAATCAATGGAATCGCCCCAGAGCGCCAATTAGATCTCCCACGGTCTCCTCTACTATATATTCTACTAAATAGACACGAAGTTAATGATATGAGTAGTTCACATGTTACAGACTCTAAAATCAAAGTTTGAAGTTAGTGCTGAAACTTGACAGTCAGTTCCTTACTGAAATTATTTATAGTATAGCACTGTTTCACTTTGCTTCACTGGCGGATTGTTATTGCACAAGTTATCGATCATATTGAGGTACCTACTTATAATATTGCAGCTGATGATTTTATATGCATTATTTTCAGCCAATGGAAAGTTACTGGGTTATGTTGTATAATTTAGTTATTACAAGCTACTTAGACTCGATGGTATATGTTGTGGAAAGTTTATCACTATCCATTCACAAATTGACCCAATTTGAATGTGATGAAAAAAAAAAATTTCGAATAAAAAACGTACTTAAAGGTTTATCTGATCATACAGTGTATTCAAGTTGAAACCGTCTCCCTGAGTAATTCATTGGATATTCAGAATGTAAAAAAATGAAACACGCCACTTCATTTTCATGGGGACATATTTCTACGTAAAAATCAACCCCTTGTCAACCACCGCCTGGCCATAACATTCCACCAGTTGAATATTTCAAATGGGAATAATAGTTCAGTGATACCTTATTTGGAAGGTTTTTCAACTTTATATCCAACAGTGTAACACTTTTGGCATCACAACGATAAGCAAAGTCAGAAAAAATAAAAGACTTCTTTCAGTATGTATTCAATTACGAAGAAGAAAGTAAAGCTAAACAGACAAAATCACTTCATAAAATGTTCGAACCGCACCAATACCTGACTTCCTTCCTCACATCCTATCAGGTTTTCATAGCCTGAAGCCTGGTACCGGTAATTTATCTACAGTAACGGTCTCGTAGATTCTCGTGGATTCTATATAACATTTGCTTCCAATTCATCCACCTGGAGAGTCACCATCAAGAAACATTCTTACTGGTATTCCGCAATGAGAAGTAGCCTCATATTGTTGAAAAAAATACCGAATTTTAGGAAAGAGCATATAACTGAAAGGCGTATCAATGCTTGCATAAATTTTTCATTTAGGAAAAATGAAATAACTTTCACCATTCAGGTTTGCATTCAGAAAGAATAGTCACTTAATATGGTTACCCAAAATTCCTATCCACATATTTAGTTTTGGGAATTATTAGATGTGGATAGGTCGTATCATATTGGGATTTGAAACACTTCAGTATCAATAAAATAGGTGAAAAAGAATTTTTGTACAACTGTCATTAAAGATGACATTTTCAATGATTGACAAATTATAAGATAATGTTTACAAAGTACCGTGTTGAAAATATTTTCAACACTAGTGTTTTTAACACGATCAAATAGCAATTAACAAAACATAATTATTCGATTTTCAAGAAAGTTTTATTATGAACAAATGTTACAAATGTATTATATAGTGTGTAAAAGCCAAATGGAATAAATTCATTATTTCGGTCACGGTACATATTTTAACAAAATCCCTAAACACGTCAAATTTAATTTGATACACTTTAACGGAAAAATGCTACACCTACTTCAACCTACGTCGAATGACAGGTACAAAGACACTCAAAACTTATTGCAATATACTCAAAACTTATTTTCATGTTGAGGTATTGATGAAAAGAAAGTAAACAAAAACTATAGCAATGTTCTTGTTAGATGGTATTCTATAAAAAAACTAAATAATTTGTATGGCAACGTTAGCTTAAAACGCCTTGTCAACTTGTTTTTTATGTTACAACAGTAGTATGATTTAAGTTTAAAATTCGTTAACTTCAAGTCTGATAAATGGTTAGATTACCGGAAATGCGTATAATAAGAGTTTCAGAATTGATTGGTTATGGAGATGAAACCTGAACACAACAGAAAGTAGCTCGCTCATGAGGAATTTCCTAATATACCGCCCATATCTCAAGGAACAATAAGCAAATATAGAAGCAGTTTCGCGAGCTAGGTCATATGGGGCAGATGAAAACAGCAGCTGCCAATGCAATGAGTGATAAACTCAATATAGATGTGATGCTTGAGTTTGAGGGAAACCCACATACATCGAGTAGACAGGCATCTACTACATTCCATGTTAGCCATACATCGATAGTAGAGATATTAAAAGAAAATAAAATGCATCCCTATGAAATGATATCTACTCAGAACCTCATGGAAAACGATTTTGATAAAAGAAGTTATTTTTGTGAGCAAATGATGGGCATGTTGGATAACAATATAATCCAATTAGAAGACGTTATGTTTTCTGATCAGTGTACTTAACGGTCATGCTAATCGGCAAAATTGCCGCTACTGGTCAACAGAAAATCCTCACCGGATGAGAGAACACACGCAATGCCCTCAAAAGGTCAATGTTTGGGCAGGGCATGTAGGAAACTATATCATCGATCTCTTTTTCATTCAGGGCAACTTGAATGGCGATAATTATTGGCACTGCTTCATAATAATGTCATTCCAGGTTTAGCAAATTTATATCCCGATCCAGGAAACCCTCAAGTTCCAGTGAATATGATACGATTTCAACAGGATGGAGCACCACCACATTTTACCAAGCTGATGTCCGGCAATACCTCGATACAACATTTCCCAAACGGTTCATAGGGAGGCGAGGATCGATTGAATGGTCGGCGCCATCACCTGATCTATCATCATTTGATTTTTTTTCATTGGGATATGTAAAGAACAATGTGTACCCAACTGAACCTTCAGATTTGAATGACTCAAAAGAACGAGTGACGCTTGCGATTAGATCGGTCACGCCTGATATGTTAAATAATGTTTGAAGACAGTTTTATTTGAGATTAGTATGTTGTCAAGACGTTGGCGATGAACTACTTCGGTAACATCCATAGTTTTTTTCGAATTCTACATTTCATTACGTTCTGCATTACATTTTAGTTTTTGAGTTTATTTTATCGAATTTCGGTAACCGCATGATTTTAATTCATTTTATCTTAATTGTTGCAATGAACTTGAAAGCGATACCATTTTTGAATAGAGAATGATGAGACCTTTCAAAATATATATCATGAACCCATACTTTCCATTTGAAAAATTGAGGGTTGTACCTGTCACTCGAAAGGGGTTGAAAGGGGTGGAATTTTTACGTTGAAGAATGTCAAATTATAATTTACATTCGAAGTGTTCCGTATTTTTTTTAAATAAGTACACTAACCGAAATAATGAATTTATTCCATTCGGCTTTTACACACTATATATTAATTACATTATTATTATTATTTATGACAATAATGGGAATAGTACAATTAGAACAACTGCTGACATTAATACCTTGCGATGTTGAAGAGCTTTGTGAAATATTTGAACAACCTGAGTTGACAATTTCATGGGCATTAACATTCAATTCTTGAAGTCAAGAGGACGATGCTGTAACGCTGGAGCTAGCTGTTGGGATTATTCTTCCAGCAAGGGTCTTTTTATAAGCAATAGATTGATCGATGTAAACCTCAGATATTGTTGTAGACTTCCATCTCTCGTATTTCTGAAACAGTGACCTGTATATTCCTTTGGTTCCAGGAGGTTCAGAAACTCATCAATGGTAGAGGGCATTTTCCCAAACGTGTTTATACCAACTGGGTTCGCACTGCTTTCATAATTAAACATTGTGAAATTATAAAACAACAATAAAAATAACAACAACGACGTATTTATTAAAATAGCCAATGTGCTGTGTATTTGTGTATTTGGAATTTGAGCAATCAATGATTCATCCATTGATTTAATAACTAATTATTACAGTTTATTGCATGATTTTCACTATGAATTTTATAGTGAAAATCATACAATAAACTGTATTGATTAGTTTTTGATATGGATTTTCATTCAGTATTAGTCAGTTCCATTCAATCATTAATTTAATGTCTTCTATCAATAAATGGCACAGCTCTTCACTCTGGCAGGCCCATATTTTCCGAAAATAGTAGCAAATTTTATCATCAAATATTTTTCATCTGGCGCCTTATTTATAAACCTCTGGACTTGTTCAAACGTACGAGTTTTTGATTTTTTGGTGCTATAACTTTCATTTTTTCGCTTTAAGAATGTACTACCTTGAAATATTTGCTTGTATTAATGCCATTGAAAACTTGCTCCACAAAGTTGACGAGTTCCATATTTTTGATTTCTCTTCTAGATAGGCCAAGAAGATGGTCTCGCTGAAATTTCCTTCGACGTTTTTAAGTCTACACCAGCTGAGAAAATTAGAATATGCGATGTCATTCTGCTGAGCCGATTTTTTGGTAAGAATTCAATTCAAGCTCTTTTTGCAGCCTCTTCAATATCGCCAGAACACACAATTCCTCACTAATGTTCTTCATTATGCAAGACATTAAACACCAGCAAGA